GGCAACAGAGGGAGACTCCAACTCAAAAAAAAAAAAAAAAGATCTTGGTTGGGCACAGTGGTTCATACTTCAATCCCAGCACTTTGGAAGGCCAAAACGGGAGGATCACTTGAGTCCAGGAGTTCAAGACAGGCTGGGCAACATGTCTCTATAAAGAATTTAAAAATTAGCCAAGCATGGTGGTGTGCACCTTTAGTCCCAGCTCCTTGGGAGACTGAGGCGGGAGTATTGCTTGAACCTAGGAATTCAAGGCTGCAGTGAACTATAATGTTTTGTGCCACCGCACTCCAGCCTGGGTGACAGTGAAACACTCTTTTTAAAAAAATTTTTTTTTAATTTCAAATCATGGGGTACAATTCAGGGTTGGTTATACAAACATTCGACGCTGTCTCTTAAAAAAATTAGATCTTACTACATCTTGCTATGACTAATTAGAATACATTTATAAATTGAATTTTATAGTTATGAAATCATTAAATGAGAACAAAGAAGCTATTGGATTAATTAAAAATGTTAAGTCAGGGGTTATAGATGACAGCTGCACTTTTATCAAGCACAGGATCTAACTGATTATTGTATTTGCTTACGCAGTATTGAGGACATCCTGATGCACACAAGATAAGTGGTCACAAAATTGTGGTGGTTTAAAACTGTGAGCAAATGTATTCACACTGAGAGGCAGTGACCATAGCCCGCTGAATCTGGGCTTAGCGCCTTGCTCGTTTAAAACAGCTTACCCTAAAACAGTCTTCACCTCTTCTTTTAAGCTGATGGGAGAGGCATTATTCAAAGTTTTCCCCCAACTGAGCTAACCTGGCAGCAAAATTTAATAGTCCTTCGGTGGTCTCTCACACTTTTGGCATATAACACGTATAGTGTGTCCACTGACTTTTATTAGAGTTTTTAAAATAACATTTAAAAAGTTAAGTCAAACAAAAGGTTATGAACTGCCGACACACTTTCACTATTCCCTAGAGTTCTCTGAAACATGCTGAGAGGGAACAGCTGACTGGGTCCATCCGGTCGCCTTCCTTTACCTGGAGAAGCAGTCCCAGAAAGTTCCATTTCCTGGGTTGCTTCTCTAAGGTGACTTCCAATATACAATGTCCAAAACAGGCTTGTTTTCCCCTTTTGTTCTTGCAGGCTCCTTATGTTTCCCATGGAGCTCCTTGGTCAGGAACCTGGTGGCAGCTGAACTCTTTGAAAACCTCTATTTTTCTCAAGCAACTGTCAGAGACCCGAGATCTCAATACTCACTCAGCCTGGGCTTGGCCAAACCCTGGCCCTTCCTAGTGTCCTGGCTAAGACTGGGTCTAGACTGCAGGCTCCACTCCCTAGCACACAGCCTGCTCTGGGTCTCAGCCCCTCTGGAAAATGGGACCCAAAAGACAGGGCAGGTCCTGCAAAGCCTCAGACCCCAAAGCCCTAGGTTCTAGAGTTCTGTGGCAGGGCTGCTTCTCCTTCTCCAGCAGGACTGTTGATTCCTTACCCTCTCATCATATGATATCAGAGATTAGCAGAAACACTTTTTAAATTTTTAAAAAATTCATTTTACTTATTTATTTATTTTGAGTCAGAGTCTTACTCTGTATGTAGCCCAGGCTGGAGTGCAGTAGCACGCTCATGGCCACTGCAACCGTGACCTGCTGGGCTCAGGCTATCCTTCTGCCTCAGCCTTCCAAGTAGCTAGAACTACAGGCACACACCACCATGTCCAGCTAATTTTTTTATTTCTCGCAGAGACAAGCTCTCACCATGTTGCCCAGGCTGTCTCGAACCCGCAGACTCAGGCAATCCTCTTGCCTTCACCTTCCAAAGTGCTGGGATTACAGGCATGAGCCACTGTGCCCAGCTACTTTTAAAATTTGTTTTTTTTTTTTTTAGTTGGAGTCTCACTCTGTCACCCAGACTGGAGTGCAG